AAAAAATCTTTTCTCTTTATAATATTCGTATAGAATATAATATGTATGTAGATGTATGAAACCGTTGGTGCGATTCAGATTTTTAATCCGACTTTTTTAAACATAGCATAGTTCAGTATTTATATATTAGTTCCAAGCGATTAACAGCTAATTTTATAACACCAAGACCTCGTTAGGACATAAATGGATTATCTTGACCCCATTAAAACACAGGAAGCCATACTGGTCGACGAACGGTCCGTCCGATAAACCTGGTATTGGGATTGCGACTAAAAAGTATACTACAGCCTATACCTTTTTTTTACATTATATACATATGTACATATATACTTACTATATCATTAGTAGTAGTATATGCGAAAATGTGCGTTTGTCCTCCTATTACGCAGAAACAGAGTACAAACAGGTAATTTACGAATAGGACAAGAATATCAAGTGGTTTCCGTGGGATTTATGTAAATCTAACGCAAAAAGATAGGTACTCAAGGAAAAGTCATCAGTAGATATATGAAATAATAATGACCTATCACAGGTGATTATTATTTTCATATACCCACTAATGACTCTCTCATAGCAGAGGTATTCTGTAAGTTTAACTTTGCTGATACCATAGTCCGTATACGTATTTAGATAAAAAATATAATGTTTCCGCTAAGCTAAATACGAAAACTTGGTCGATAAGACGTTGAGGCATAACCAAAAAAAATGGTTAAGTGCGAGTAAAACTTGTACTAAGAGTTTAGCGCAATACAATTCTGACTGGCCCTTTCCTTTTATTATTTACTAATTTTCTTTATTGTGTGTGTGATTTACCACTTATTGTTAGGTATATATTTCATATGATTAACTTTGTTGTTTTGCATAATGAAGTCATACTGGAATCAAAGTTTACAGCCACAGACCATTTGTTTATCTAACATAGTGTATACATATATATAATTTACTAGCAGTTTGCCTCCGTTTCGCCGGGCATCCCGTTTTAAATTTTAAACAATAAAACTTAATTAACACTTTTAATTAAGTGCCAAACTTTGCCATCCGATCATTACGCAAATTAAAAAAAATAGCGGTTGTCTTTTAATTTCAAAATATATTGTCAAAATTTCAGGCTCTAAATCCAGCGGTTTGACTAAGGCGATAATATAAAAGTTTATTTATATATAATATGTAAAAGATAAGTCCAATTAATAAATTAAAGAAACCATATTAGTTTAGATTATGTAACTGATAAAGTGATCGTAACGATTAGTGATGCGAATTTAACGAGCTTTTCGCTTTCCCTAATCAAAAGTGATCAAGTTACAGTTTACGATTTATACATAATTTTTCCATTTGCATAATATTTTTACATAATGGACATATTTAGAACATTTTAAATTAAGTCATTTTTTATATAATAATAGAGTATACAGATATTTATATATATATATATTTTTTATTGAGCGCCCTTTAGATTTGTTTTTTTTTAATGCTTTATAAGTTGCTTGAAAAGTAAACTTAAAAAAATAATAACTGGCAGCCACAAAACTTGTCTTAGTATCCATTTATTTATCGATATTAAAAATAATCAACCTTGAGTTATTTACAAAAAATATAAGCCAAAAAAATATTTTATAATATTATTAATACTGAAATATAGTGGCCATTACATTTATAACTTTTTGGTGTTCGTGCTTAGCTATCAGAGAGACATTTTAAAGTTAGATTAAAGACCTTTAAATATTCCAGAAGAGATTATATGGTTCTTATGACTTATTACAAGCGAGTATTTCCCAGTCTATGTGAAGCCGCATTCCTTTATGATTCATTCGCTTTTTGTTACGCGTCATTCAACATAAACATGTAAAAAGTTACAACAAAAACCTAAGTAGGTAACTATTACTAATCCATATTGTAAAACTGTGCTATTATGTACTATGTTTAAGGAAATTATGTTACCGCTGTACTTATTTTGATTTACATATAGGTAGAATATTGTTAGGTATATTTCGCATAATCAGGGGCGGCCTTAGCCATTGCGAGGCCCCGGGCAGTAGATCTTTGCGAGGCCCTTATCCTTTACGGAATTTATGTGAATTGAAAATATTTTTAATGATGATGCTTGACGAGAAATGCAAAAGTTATAAATAAATAAATTTAGAGTTTTAAAATTGTATATTGGAAATTCAGAAAAGTTAACAAGCACAAAGAAGAAAAATTTATTATTTTGTTAACATTTTTAGTCTTGCTTGCCATTAATTCTCGTGACTTGCCATTAATTCTATAAACTCATTTTGAATATTTTTCCGAGATGTGGACATTATTTGTATCCCTTTAGAATTCACGGGCTTGGAGGAGCCCGGCCGTTTGAAAGACTTGTGTTCCTCAGGTTCAACACGTAGAGACCCTTGAGATTTAAGCGTTGAACATGAAGCATCAGCCGGGATCCATCTCTGAGTAACCCATAAAAGGAGTTGCTCAAATATGGTCCAGATAATGCGTAGGGACTATGGAAAATTTAAAACACTAATAGGGTCTATGGAATGGAGTTTGGATGGGCTACAAAACTGGGCTATTGGATAAGACTATCGGGCGTTCGCCTTCTCAACAGTCTCAGATTCAATATTTGGCGTACGGTTACTCGCCTCCCACTCGCGGTATAATGACTCGGGCACAGTATCAGCGTGGACGGCTAAAGGTGTCGAGAAATGTGCACTGGTTTCACCATCGCAAATGCTCGTGAGCGGGTTTCCTCGTTATTTTGCATATTGAGCACTTCTACTTTTTTAAGCTTGGCTCTTGCGCTCCACTCTGGAAGGCCAAAGACTCTGGGCTAAAGAGTCAATAGATGTACAGCTTTTATAAGCCAGTCTCTAAATTTAACCATCCGTTCACACCCGTTCTCTAAATTTAACCATTTTAACATACGATCTTTTTGCAGTCGACTAGATTAATGAAACTTTAAATATTTATCCAAGTTTTTCCAGTTGAAAACTTCTGCACTGGACCCAATTTTTTGTATTCTATTCTGAACAATCGACAGAGAATTCAGTAAATGGCATATTTTGTTTGTGAATAAATCATCCAGTGCCTGTCTAGTTTTTCGCCATTAGCTAATATTTTATTGTAATGATACCTATTCAATGAATGAGTCTTTCTGTATAGTAAGTCTCAGTAACAGCCCGGAGTGGAGAAGTTGGCGGTGTTTCACCCCCGTGCCTCGGAGAGCACGTAAAGCCGTCGGTCCTGCGCCTTAACTCTCACTGGTCGTGTCGAGCAGTCGTCCCACCGGAGTATGAGAGTGATAGGAATAGAGAGTGCACTTGTACCTGCGCGTACACTTGAGCACTATAATATCTCCTGCGCAGTTGGCTAGACTCAATGAGATTGGCCGCCGTGGCTGGAATCGGCTTGGAGAACATCATCATCATCAATGAGTCACCGTCCACCATCGTTTGAAGAATCGTTTGAATTCTGTCTTAGAACAGATTAGACCTTTCAATAAAATCTTAGTTCGGTCTGCATCAGTAATTATTGATGGCCATAAATCTGGGTCATTTCAAGGATTCAGATTTTCAATTCCGCTACTGGATGTAGACTTAGGTAGATTTAGGTACGTATTTTTGGCTGGATAGTGTTCACGACGGCGATGGCGGTGGAGTAACAATGATGTTGCTTACTCACTGTTGTTGTTGAAAAAAATATTGGGTTAGGATTAGAATGCAATAACATGTAACTTTCAGTCACTAAAGAGTCTCAAGGACGTGGAAGCTTCTTGACCATTGTCTTTTATATATTTATACAAATACACATAAAGATATTGTCTAAATGCTTTCTTTTGATAGCTTGTTGCCTTTTTGAACTATTGAACTAATTTTTTCTACTGGCAACACAATCGGCCAAACTCAGTTTGAAAATCATTTTTGCACATAAAATTAATAAAAAAATTACAAGCAGTTTAACGCAGTTTTTTTACTAATTCACTCTTTACTATTATTACTTATACTTAATAGTGCAAGATTTAATATTAATAAAGATTTATTGAAAAATACGTGATATGTGCTTGTACTTGCACGTTGTGGGTTTAGTAATGTATGGCGTAAGGCACGAGATTCTAATACACTTGGGTTGTTGTGCGAAGGCGCGAGGCCCCTGAAAGCGCGAGGCCCTGGGCGGTTGCCCTGCTCGCCACCCCCTAAGGCCGCCACTGCGCATAATTTACACAGATTTCCTAAGTATTTGGATCAAGAAACCTATTTGATGAATTACATATATTATGTATTAAATATAATTAAGGCATCATAAAAAGAAATTGACTATATGATTATAATAAATCCAATTGTTAATTAAATATTATTATTTATTTATAAAGGCGGCACCACAAAAATTACGTATGAATAAACAAGAATTTCCACTTACCTTCAATATTTTTTTAAAGTTTATAAGCAAATCCTTGAAATATTTAAATTAAATACGTCACAAGAGTTCAATGCATTACATAAACAATAAAGCACAAATTTCTCCTAACAATAATTCACACTGTTTTGTTTCAAGTTGAATAGCACTCGCGCGGGAATTTCGCAGCTCATTGTGCGCATAAAGTACGTCTCAACTCCTGCGAATACGTTCAACGAATACAAAACAACGCGTGTCGTGCCGACTGCCGCATACGCCGTGCCGTATGAATTGAATCATCCATTATGATTCATAAATATTATAACGCCATCTACAGGCAAAAATAGTAGATCCTAGACATTTTGTTATGTAAATAATTAGTTTTTACTATTCGCCACTAGATGTCCTATGACATATGCTTGTTAATTAAATGAGTATATTTATTATTTAATATATAGCTCATAATAATGTTCAATTTTAAATAGTAACATAATTGTTATAATGTGATAAATTAATTTATTTCAATGTTAGTAATTGTTAATACAGATAACATGAATATTGTCAGTCTGTACGTAGTTACTAACTTTTATATAATCTATGACAGATTACATTCTTTCTCTGTCAAAATGGCTGCCGCGCAAGAGGTGCGTGCTGTATTTAATTGTTTTAATTCATAATTTAAATTGAGTTTCTTATTTGTATTTTAATAAAAAAACGCATTTTTGGTGTTTACAGGCGAGACGCGAACCTTTGCACGCCGTCCAAGTGTTCGGACGCAAGGTGAGTTTATGATAGTTGCATCCACGTGTTAGTTGTAATAGTCCCGTATTATAAAATATTTTATACGTTATTTTTATTTGTTTTAACAGCCCGGAAAACATGTAGGATCATAGCTTTCAATTACTCTTACATTTACTTCGATAACGACTTTTGTAATGTTCCTTTCCTGCCTTGGCTGTTGTAACCTATACAGTACAACTGTCTATAATGGGAAAGAAGATCATGATTTTCATTGTACCAGCCATGCAAGAAACCCATTTCTTGTCTGGTCTAAATAAAAACAACAAGTTACTTGTAACAATTGAAGAAACCGCTAAAACATAACCTCATTCGTTTAATTTGTGCATTTAATGATTTTGACCGCTCAGATTTCTCTTAAAGCATGAATTCTATAAAAAGGGGCCATTATTTACATTCTTTGTTATATCATAGAAAAGCTTATTAGATAATACTAAAGACTGTTATATATTTTAGAAAACAGCAACTGCAGTAGCATACTGCAAGCGAGGACATGGAGTACTCCGCGTAAACGGACGTCCTTTGGACTTAGTGGAGCCCCGTCTCCTCCAATACAAACTGCAAGAACCTATCCTGTTGCTTGGCAAGGTAAACTATTTTCAGTATGCTTTTCTTTTTTTACTAGATTATTGGTAGTATTTTTAGTATGTATGTAGGCTACCTATAGTGTTTTGTTGAGTGTTGTAATTTGTGTTTATCATATTAGTATCTGGTTCGAATTATTGTTTGAATTCTAATATGTATTAGTTATTAATATTTATGTTTTTATTATTACCAAAATAATAGTAAAATTATTTATTTCAATAATTGAATTAACATGAAAAGATTGTTTTATTATCTGCATTATAAACTATATTTACCCTTTTCATGTCTTTAAAAGAACCAATTCCCATATCAAAATTTATTAATAGCATAATATACATTAACAATTTACAGTATTTGTTCACATACAGTTTAATTTAAATATTTGACTTTTGCATTTCAATTGCATGTTCATAGCACATTGTAAAATGCTCAGTAGTTCAATTAATTTGTAGCATGTTTGTGTGTGTTTCAAAGTATGTCTAATTTACTAACCAAGCCTTAGACTTCTTTTGTTTTTGTTTTGCATTTTTTATACTACAAATTGCTTGTATCGAATATTTGTATTAGATTTTAATACTTGTATTAGATATGCACCTCTGCATGTCTCATTTCTAAGTTTGTAGGACCAGAACTTAAATTACAAATCTGTTTTCTTTGTAATTAAAACTAAATGGTAATTTAGTGTACGTATTTCCATTTATGTAGTTGTCAAACTGTCTAGGTTTGTGTAGTAGTAAACAGACATGTCAATATATTTGAAAATAAAATGATGAATAATACTTATTCCGAACCTGAGCATCTTAGGATGTGCAGTGAACATATATTCTGATTTAACAATACTTTAATAATATGCAAAAAAAGACTTTATCAGTGTTATTAAAATATGTGACTAATTTTTCAGGAAAAGTTCTCCGGTGTTGACATCAGAGTGACTGTCAAGGGTGGTGGTCATGTCGCACAAGTTTATGCCATCAGACAGGCTATCTCCAAGGCTCTGATTGCCTTTTATCAAAAATGTAAGCAATAATTTTTTATACATCTATACAGATAAATAAAATTGAAGTGTCTGTTTGTAATATCAAAATAATAGCTATATTCTAAATGCATATGAAATTATATATGAAACTTATAAGAGAAGGCATAATTGCTTTGAAACCCCTTCTTTCCAAAGCTGTCTTACACCATGTGGGTCAGTCATTTCAGGGAAGGTAGATTAAACTGTGACATTTACCAAACGGCAAGTCTTATTAGTACCTTGCTTGTTTGAAATGTACACTACAAATATAATTACATATTATATGTATTTAATGGCTGAATCAATATTTAGTAAAGATTCAAATCAATATATATTTTTTAAATTAAATTGTATTGTATGTATTCGTTAATGCATATTTGTCTATGGTCATGAAGTAATAATTTCTGTTGTCAATACGAAATTTGCTATTTCATAAAAGACTAGAAGTAAGAAAACTTGAAAATTTCCCTAAAAAATTACTATTGTATACTTACATTTTAATTATTTTATTAACAGATCCTTGTTAATACATATATTTTTTCTATTACAGTTGTAGATGAAGCGTCAAAGAAGGAAATCAAGGACATCCTCGTCCAATACGATAGGAGTTTGCTAGTCGCTGACCCCAGGCGCTGCGAGCCCAAGAAGTTCGGAGGTCCAGGCGCTCGTGCCAGATACCAGAAATCATACCGTTAATACTTCTTTCTACACACGCGTCGAATGGTATTGCCTTGGTTTGTACAGCCATTGCAATATCATTGGGTGTTTTAAAAATAATGAAAAAATATAAAAATTAAAACTCTTTTTATTTTGAATCTTATGTTAAAAGCTAGTCTCCTCATTTATATATGTAGTTTAATTTAAAGTTAAATTGTATTCGTATGTATGTACGTTTTAAAAGTTAAATTCGTAATCACAAAACTATTTTTACTGTCTATTGAAATAATTTGTTTGGTTTTTCAAGAGATGCTGGCACTACTCTTATTAGACAATTACTTGGGTGTCTGTAATTAAACATGGTGGAAGTTGTTAACGTAAAAGCTTAACTTAAAAATCCAATTATATGGCTAACTAGTTTCTGCTTAGTTTTCATAAAGAAAATAATTTGATTAAATTTTTTCTTAACTTCAGGATGCAATACCATTCTAATAATACTTTATCTAAAATACCCTAGTACAGTACAGATGCCTTTCATTTCATAAGGAATTGGACTGCCATATTTAGAATGAAGTCTTATGACGTACAAAGAAAAATTCGTGTAAATAAATATCAACAGATGGTGCATCGAGTTTTTCGAACTTTTTTTGTACTTTTAATTGATTATTATTGAAAAATCTGCAATCAGATAAAGTTTTGTAGATTGCAGTGCATACTTCACATTTATGACGCTTTTACTCGTGTCTATGATTTGTTTATCACGTAGAAAACTTAAAAATCACTGTTTGATAAAATAAATGCGGGAAGAATTTTGCAATATTTGTATAGTAAATATTATTTGCTTTCACATAATTATAAAATAAAACACTTCGAAAGTTTGCCGATTAGCTACATCTATTCAAGTAAACAAGAATAGCCAGTCTGGAATGGGGCATATAGTAGTATAGTATTGCCATCTGTGATTCAGGTAAGAAAACTAAACATAGTTTTTCCTAAATAAACAATAGATGGCGTTGATCCACCATGGTTAAGCTAATTTTCAAACGATTTAAAAAAAGGAGGTTATGTATAAGACAGGTTTTTAGGTTTTACAGTTATAAATAATTAAAAAATATAAAGGGGCACCATCTATTAGTACCTTACATATTCATTATCCAATTGCCGACTAGACAGACACTCTGCAGAGAAACATTAGTAAAAACATGAGTGGTATTACTCAATTCATAGTTTTCTTCCCATTTGGTCTACATGTGTTTACTAACACATAAGATATAAACTCAATTTATATATTTAATAGGCAAATCATAACATACACTTTCAATTATTGAAAATGTAATGGCAGATAGCGTTGGTCTAGTGGCTAGCAAGTTTATTAGTAGAACAAGAAGATCTGGGTTCAAATCCCAGCTCTCTGCCATGAAGTTATATTGTATATTTCTGTCAAGCTTTCAATAAATATACATATATTAAAAAAATCATTTATAAAATATTGACGCGAAGTTGTGACAAGAACCCTTTCTTTCCAAAGCTGTCTTGTTACATGTAAGTCAGCCATTTCAGAGAAAGCAGATCAAACTGTGGCATTACCAAACGGTAAGTGTCGTTCATACCTTGCTTGTTTGAAGTGTTACACTACAAAGAAAAACATAAACAAATGCATAAATAATAAATATTAGATCTTAATTTTTCACTTCTTATTGCACCTGCTAAATAAAATAGTACCTATTGTATAGATAGTAGTAGATATTTTTAGGGAAAGAAAAAAACAAATTGACGTAGTACGAAATAAAGTAATATTACCTACCTATGGAGTTGGAGATATAATCATATAAATATATTATATAGTATGGGGGTTCAGCCTTTCAGGTGGTCACTCATCAGAAACAAAGAAATATTAGTTTAAATATATGTCAATAGATGTCATTATATGTATCGATTTGTTATTGAAGTTTGTGTAAACTTAACAAAAGATAAAAAAAAGATCCATCTAAGGTAGGTAAGTACATTATTGCTTTTAAAAAAATCAATTTAATAAATTGTTCATCATACAAAAAAAAAATAGTAAGAAAATAAAAGACACATATTGATGCCTAAAATCGATTATTTTATTTTTTTATATGTGGCAATGAATTTAAAGACATAATTCATCAAAACCAAAGAGTATAGTTATAAACTGGGAAATCAAACCCGTTTTAGCCATTTGAGAGTTATGAGCATGGATGACAAATAAAAGATACGAGATTATATGTGTAAATCGGACCTACATAGATAAAAGTCAAAGACAGAACTCACGTGTTTTATTTTAGGTAGTTAGTATAGACTGTAAGTACCTAGACTATAGCATGGAGTCTCATATGAGTATTAAAGACAAATTAGTTCAATTAAACAGCGTTAGTACCTATAGACGACCGAGCTTCACTAGGTGCTTTTCGACCATCAGGAAAGATAAAAAATTGCGTTTTTTTTAGAAAAAAACAACACCTATTAAGATAATCTTAAAAACCATACCTTATCTACAACCGAACCTAAATACAAAATTTGATCCAAATCGTTACAGCTGTTTCTGAGATACACGAAATTTGATTTACATACAAGAACTGCTCATTTAATATTATAAGATATGTACCAGTAAAAGGTTTGTTTGTGTCTAAAAATGGTTAATTTTTGTTTTTAGCTATCTAAAATAAGAAATAAGTTTCTTATTATTTCTTTAAATACTAACCATCCATGCGCGGTGTGTTCCATATTCTTCGCGTTTGAAAAAATGTCGTTTTAATAATTGTTTCTTCAATCGTCTTGCACTATACATAAACAGATGCGGGTAAAGACAGTAAAGCCAGTTGCTGGTTTTCATATAAAAAATTTAGGTAATACATATAAATGAAATATAACAATTCAATATAATCATTTATTCCCATTCACAAGTTATTGTCTTTATATCACGTCATTTACTCAAGGAAAATTAAATGCAATTCAGAAAGTATGATGCACTAGGTTAATATACAATAACATTTTGCATACATTAATTTAGTATCATTACACAGGTAAAAACCTAAGCAAGTTATTTTTTTTATCTAACTACTTTATTATATTACTAATTACATAAATCTATATATTTTAGAAAACCATAGAAATATAAGTTATTTATTTATTTAATTTTAAGCTTAGAAAAGGTCTTAATTTTGCATTTTTTTTTGTACTAAAGAACAACAACAATATATAATTATATTACATATTGTCGTATTCATCGTATTAAAATATATGGGCAAGTGGAAATAGTAGTAATGTTATTTATTATTAGTTAGTAATATAAATGTCTTTTAAAACTTAATTAAAATATTATTATTAAAATATATCGAGACAATATTAAACAGATCGTAAAAGAGATTATTAAGTATTAACACTTACAATATAAGATAGTGTATATAATATAAAAATAATTGACTAAAACATAGCCATTTCATAGCCTCAGATTTATCTTACTTCGAGAATCGGTATACCACAAGGAGTATTCCATGTTAATTAATATTTATGTAACTAGCAAACTAATAACAACTAACTGAATTTCAATGATAAAATCATTCCAATTCGGTGTTTGTTGAATTTGAAATCATTTTAAAATAAAATTATTTACAGTTTAAAAGAAAAGTGGAGGAAAAAATTAAAAAAAAAGGAAATTACAAATCCCGCGTTAAAGAATATCATATAACAACAGATAAAATAAAAATGTTATATACTGCGAAGGTTTAAAATTGGACAGATAATAAAGAAATGAACGATTACTTTTCATTCTTCTCATCGTGAACGTCTTCAAATTTGGCACCCATTCGTCGTAGCGCGATGACAGCTGCCACTGCTTTTGCCCATCTCTTTTTTATCACGTATCTCTTCAACTTGGCTTTTGTAACGTGCAATTCTGTGCATAATGCTGATTGAATCAACCAAGGGTGGGTTAAGGTTGCTGAAGCTGTCAATCGATCCCTATAGAAATAATAGGTAAATAAAGATGTTTGTCGTTTATTAATTTCTTTTTTTTTTAATTCATATTTTTATTTATTTTACGTATTTGCCTACGTACATAGCACAATAATGAAATAGATAAATATTTTTATTTTTAATTGAATTAAATTAACAAATATAATATATTTACATATACTTAGTTAAATATTTTTTATCTTTGTTATTCCAAGAAGTCAAATTAGGAAAATGGCGAATTTCAAATAAAACAATCAATTTTATTAAGCCTTATATTTTAACAACATACGCATCATATAACAATAAATTATCAATAAAATCAATACATTAGACTTAAGTACGTATAAGGAACAATACGCCGGGGAAAATATTCAAAATATGTATGTATATTTATTTACAAAAAGTACAAAATTATGCGCTATTGTCAATGTAATTTCAAGTGTATCTCAGTCTTGTCTGCAAGTGAATTATACAGAGCTTTGAGTATGAAGACTAGATTCGTGTAAAATTGTCATTTATCTGTCATTTATTTCAAAAACTTAAATAAACATGCCCTACTTCGGTAACCTACCATTCATTCAGAAAGATTAACTTTATGCCAGGCGAGTCTTTTTTGAAGAGTGAGATCAGAATCAGTCGCCATTATAACGACAAATATTTACTATTTTAAAATATAAATAAAGAATCATTAAATGAAATGATTTTTTATTTTATTTTTACTTTATATTTATTAAAGCATACTTAATATCTTATAACATACCTTTAAAAATTTCTAAACGCTATAAGCTATCAAATTAGTATTAATCTTTTAATTGCTTAAGCGTATACATTGAAATTCTAGTAAGTTTATCTTTCTGAACAATAAGATGTCATGGCACATAGTCTCTGCTTCACTCACGTATCACTTAGAACTTGAAATGTTCGTTGTCTTCTTTTGCACTTTTTCGTCGGAGGACTGTCTTTTAAAGAAAGCATGAAGACTGGACATAGAATTTTGTGCTAGTTGGTTTGATTGTGACCATTCTAGGGATATTGACTGATGCCTACCATTATTCGATGTTCCTCCAGCGGTTCTTTCTCCTTCTCTATCTTCGTTCTCACCCCATTTTTCTAAGAGATGCAGAAGTAAGTCTTTTGTTCTATGCGCATTGTCTTCTCGTCTGTAAGGTAAGTGCTTGTCGTTGTCGAAGCCATTAACTAATTTGTCTATCTTATCACGCCTCCTGTCAAATTCTTCGAAAAATGTATTACGTCTTTCTAAAGGTTGATCTGGTACATCTCGGCTTGTAGTCGTCACTCTTTTTGACCGCGTTGACTTTACCCAAGGCATTTTACTTGTCATGGGTTTTTGCGGTTCTTTCTCGGTAAGAAACGTTGAACTTAATTTATGAGTAGACTTGGAGGTAAATACTTTTTTCTCGTTGCTGGTTACATTACCATTAGTCATAGTTTTTGTGGTAGTTGTGATGGTTTCAGATTTAAAACCATTCGGAAGACTTTTCTCTTCTTTAGTAAACGTTTTAAATTCTGAAACATTCTTATCAACTTCTTTCATACTATTGTTATTATTGGTTAAATCAGTATTCATGGTTGACAGCATAAAAAGATGATCTGATAATTTCTTTATTTCTTCAGCTAAATTTTTTCTCACAAAAATATCTTGCTTTTTGTGCATAAAGCAACTACTGTCTGATGCTCTTCTTTCAACTGGATTATACCTTGTAGAGTAAGTAGGATCTCTTAAAGGCGGCGGTTCTAAATCATCTTCATCAAACACCATATCGGGAGAGCTACTTAAAGAACTTCTTGGTGAAGGTGAGCAACCACCAATGGAAGAACGTTCACCGTTACCATTTGCAAGGCAAAGTATTTCTTGAGCTTCAATGTCGAACACGTATGGAGAATTGGGATGTTCGCTCCATCTTTCGACGAATAGCCGTAGGTTGTCTTTTGCGACGTCTAATTCATGTTTCGGTGATATTGGTGGTTGTCGTGGCTTTTCTTGCTTTATGGGTTTTCTTTTGATGAGCCATTGGTGCCGTAAACACTCCGTAGCGCCCGGGCGTGACCTGCGACAAAGACCCTTGTTACTATCACCCCAACACCTTACTGTGCATTTGTATTAAAAAAATGGGCTTAGTAATTATAGCAAATATAGCAGTATGATTTCTAAAAGCTAGGATATGTGCAGGGATGGGCATAAAATCTACAACAATTAAGTTGCTAATTTAGTAACTTAAGACTACTAACAGAAGTTAGCATAATCTAAAGTATAATCTAAAGTTACGTTATTATATAGTTAAATAAATACGATGTGAATGATATTAGTGACTGGATTCTTTCAGTGTTGGATGAGAATTATGTAACAAAGGGTCTTTATCGATAGGCTGAGCTGAGCAGTCAAGATTAGAAAACAAATGATTCAGCCTTAAAACAAAATACTTAGAAAAACTCATCTTGGGATTTTTTTATTTTTAAAGTCGCGAACTTGCAAAATATTTTTACCCGACATCACTGGGCTGATATCTATTACTAAATAATCCAAATCCAAAATGTACACATACTTATGTATACTTTAATCTACTTCAAACACATTACTATGAAACGCTAGATACTACATTACTCTACATACTTATAAGATAACTTACTCTTTGTCCTTCACGAGAAGCTTCCTGATGAAGTCCTTAGCATCTTCAGAGATCTCGTTGAACGCCTCATCATCGAAGTCGTACTTAGCAATCGTCACGTTAGCCATCGTTTCTATATCTGTCTCACCCATAAACGGCGATAAACCCGATAAGCTGTAAATATAAGTGCATAATTAATGTGAGACAACGATCACATGCACACAGTAAAATATTTAAAAGTAAGGTATTTGTGTACTTTTAAAATTAAATATATGTACTTACAGAACGTAACAAATAACTCCTACAGACCACATGTCAGTACCATAACCAATCTGGTCGAAGTTAACGACTTCTGGTGCAACAAACTCTGGAGTGCCAAACAAAACTTGCAACTTCTTTTCAGGATCATAAAAACGTGCCAGGCCAAAATCGATTATTTTAATCCGATTTCCAGCTTTGGTTAGGCACAGGATGTTTTCTGGCTGTAATAATAATAAAAAGTTAATGTATCTACTTATTACAGCTTTGTTTGCCAATTATTGATATTAATATATATTTAAATTTAATTTAATTGTTTCATTTTTTTTTAATTTAAATTATAACATAATAATATAGGATAAAAAATAATAATAGGATATTACATATGTAGGTGCTGCTGTTGGAATATGTATAATTTCTTTATTGTACATGAGTAGGTGTATTAACAGATGACTCGAAATAAAACGTGTATTTATTCACTTTTACAAATGACAGAAATAAAAACGTTCGCAACATTATAAACAATGATGGCGACGTGGTGGTAGACAGTCATAAAACTCCCGCGCTCGTTTTTCCGCCATGCTGATTAACAACTTGGATCAAGACCAAAAAACACTATGTAATGTTATAAGGTGAATGAGTTAACTATGTTATGTTAAATATTTAATATACAGATTCGTCTCAGTTTAAATTTTATTATATGTAAAGACTTATGGAAATAAATATAACTGTTTATACAAGAAATTTTGTTTTCATTAAATTAGCCATCTATAATTACCTTCATATCAAGATGTAGGATATTCTGTCTATGCACGAACTCAATTCCTTCACATATCTGCCGCATGAAAACTGTGCAAGCTCGTTCCGTTAGAACAAAATCTTCATCAATAACACGTTCAAACAACTCTCCGCCAGTGATCCTGGAACGAGAAATCAACTTTTAAGAAAAATTTCGTTTCTAACATTTGAAATCATTAAATTATTCTTAGACTATGTAAAATGGATTATTAAATTCATTTTGATGCTAGGTATAACCGTAAAAGTATTGAAAAAAGAAACAATGACTCTTATGATGTGTCTGAAGAAGATTTGACGACACGTATGGCTCAGTTTGTAATGTACTTGCTGTGCCAGCAGTCGCGGGTTCGAGTCCCGCTGGGGGCATTCATTTGTGTGATGAGCACGAATGTTTGTACTCCAGTCATGGGTGTTTATATTTATAATATGTATTTATTTAATGTTATATATGTGTAGTGTATCAACTATCTGGTATTCATAACACAAGCCTCGTAGCTTTCCGTGGAACTAGATGGTGCTGTGTGTTAAAGTCCCAACCACATATAATAATATATAATATAATTTTATTGATTAAGTTTAAAAAGGAGGAGGTACTCCATTCGATCGTGCCTACATTTCTGTTAAATAAGTTTCGAAGGTAAATGTTACGGAATAAAATCACTCAATTATATATGGACCACGAACCGCCAAGTACGTGATCAGCGAAAGATTTAGAATCCTTTTAGTCAGAAAGATCAATCAATGTCATTGCTTGTCGTAAGATACATTATAATATTGGCGGTAAGTATAGAATCGTTACATTTTAAAGTGTTTAGGGAGGTCAAATGATGTCATTTCAAACTTTGCTTTAACCTTAACCTATTTGCGATTCGCAGAAAAATCATCAAAATAAAGCCAACGCAGCCGTATCGCTAAACGTAATGAATTATTGACATTCAGAACCTATGAATATAAATAATTATTTTTATTTTAGAAAAGCAATGGATCTTCTCTTCTGTAAGTAATCTAATAATGTATGGATATCAAAAGAAGACGTGTATAATAATAATTATAATTGAAACTTTGTTTTTACTCCGTAATAGAACTGTTATAAAAGTCGAAATAGAATGAATGAATGATATTCCACGTCATCAGCTGATTTTGTTTGTATTCAAACATCAATGCTCGTCGTTTAGTGACGTCATGGCTGCTTTTCTATCGATGTTTCTTGCTATTTACTGTTAAAATATTTAAAAAAAACATCTGACGTAAGCGTTTACAATCGGCTGTGTAAATTTACACTAAAGCTAGCACTTGCTACGTACCTATAAGTAGTATAAGCTCGCATTTTAATTTTTCTTTTAATTGTAATATGTACCTATAATTTGATTATATCCTTGTTGTAAGTGTTGATGTGGCAAAATATGATAAGAAATGGCCTTACCAGTTACGTATTTTAATGCTGAAATTACTTTAATTAAGTATTAGTATAGATAGCACAATATTATACGGTACTAGTATATTTTTAATTACATATAATAAGTAAGTATATTATGGACGTACCACGTCCAGGTAAATTTCTAAAAAATAATTGAATTTCTAAGAAATCTATTGTTAACTGTAACGCTGGCGTGTCCGCGGTCGTGGAGGGATGAAATGAATATGTATATCCACGATTACTTTCTATTTATAAATACTTATGCGATAAATAAATCGTTATATTCTCATTATACATTACACTCTAAGATCATAGAATAAATATTGCTAAAGCTTTATAATAATAATTATGGTAATACTGGATGCTTGTCGATTGAATATGTTAAACCTACTTTACAATACCTACAGCGCATTGTAAATAGCTCTGTTAAAAGCTAGGGCTGACAATAACTTATAGTAACGTTTTATTTAAGTAAATTCTTTTAAGTACATAAATAGGTACTTTACTTATCTAATATTTTTCATTTTTATGATATAATTGATGAGAGAAAATACTTAGACTTGTCAAAAATATACCTTAATAAAGTGTAGTATTCTGGAGGACGAATAATATAAATTCTGGGTTAATTGAAATGTTTTAATGATTTATCGTTTTTTAACTTCAAACATATGTACTCGTAGGTACCTATATGTCAGTGGTTCGTTTCGTAATTCGTGTGGCGAACATCGTAATTTGCATCGTAATGGCGTCACAAAATCGTGATGAATTACATGTATAACTGTGTCATTGTTACATGTAAATTTGAAATAAGGTCATACGATATATTATCCCTTTCGTAATCAATGTGGGATAATCTTATTAACTGAATATTATGTTGCCGTATATGCATAATTCGATTAATATTCATTAAATATAATTGATTATTATCATAATTTTTGTCGCTTTCACATAATGTCCTTTGCCAAATGCAGTAACATATTACTTTGCCAATCACCGAAATTATTCCGATTAAAGATATATATAGAAAGCTACGTTCATGCCTTTTTTACTAAACTTTAAAAAAAATATCGTAATGTCATTTATTTACTTTTTTTCATTTATTAGCAGCCCTTGAGCTCAAAGCTAGGATGTATCGGCAGGATGGCGTCGCGCCAACTATGCGCTGTAATATCAGACGCGGTTTGACGCCACTGCTGTTATAATATCACCAAGAGGTAGAAACACACTATTCATATTACTATGGCTCGTATAGTTTTAGTCTCAATTAGAAAACTTGCTCGACCTGAATTCATCCTTGTCCAGACCAGGCCAGTGGATTGTTTGAACTTTAAGGGAGGCAAAGTTTGTGTGTAATTGTAGAACAATATTTTACTAGTATGAAGTTAAAAAAAATCCCATGTCGAATTCAAAGTAAGCTGCTTATAAGAAATTTTATGTTTCAATACAATTTTATGATACCTTGTCTTTGAATTTCAATTACGTGTACATATCACGAATTGAATCATGGAACGGCGATTATAAGTCCATAACGAAAGTCCATTCATTTCACGTTTCATTATGACACTGCCACATATTTGCACAGAGCAAAAAATTGCTTTGTATTTTGTGAGTGACTTCAAAAAAGGGGATATGAAAAAGGAGAAAATTATAAATTCTAAGAATTCCGTCGCCATATCCGAAATGAATTTGATTTGTTTATTCTTTCGTCATAATGTTATATTACTTACTATGAATTGCGGTGTAAAATAAAAACGGGGTTAGTACGTTAGTACTAACAAATAATTTAAAAAATATATCAATAATATTATCTATATCTACCTATAAGACACCTTTTATATAGATAAGCTCAATAAATAATTAACTTATAATAACATTTGTTTTTATTACGATCCCACCTTTATATTAACGAGCAGTCGTCTCCAAGTTAGGAAGCACTCGACCGGAGTTCGGTTTACATCGTTTACATCGGATTATCATGATTAATTGAGATGTAAACAGGAACGCGCTTAATGTGTATCCGTATTAATGCTTATAATAATTCTCTGTCTAAGAATCTATTAGGACTATATTTACAACGTATTTAAAAGGATCTAGGATTAGAGGGTGACTGTAAGTTATTAAAGGCACTAGTGTTACGTGGTGTCGCCAGTCTACTATAATCGTTATTGAATATTTGAGAAAAACATATATGAATAGAATTTACTTAAATGAACTGCTTTGTCTTTGCCTATTTTAAATGTATTTACATATACATTATGGTAAAAGCGCTCCTCATATTTTTTTTATGTGATTATCCTCATGTCATTTACAAACCAAAGCATATGTTTAGGTAATAGGTATTAGGTATATTTTGTGTACCCAAATATTATTTACTATATTCATAAGGTACTTTTGCTTCAATTACTATGGAAAAAAATATCAGTACTAATAATTGTAAGTTTAATCTAGCATCAAACGAAGCAAATAAGCAAATATTTGACTCAATCCGTTTAAAACAAAGCTTAATATCTTAATATCACGATTTATATATTTTATTTACTCTCCAGGTTAATCGAGGTCATAATAACGTAATTTAATATGTAACCTTTAGTGTCGATGAGATAAATGATATTGCCTAGGTCGTCGGTAATGTGGTTAGTATCTGTTTTGTTAAAAAGATAAGAAATAAGAATTATGCAGATTAAATGGGTCCGGACCCATAAATATTATCTCGCATTGATATGAATTGCACTTAGCTCTTACAGTTATCCTGTTTGAAGCTTTAAACTATAAAAGTATAAGTCGGTACCTATTAATCAATTTACAGGAAACAAAGCTGTACACAAAATTTATTAATTACGAAAGCTAATTGATTATTTATACAATTAACATCTGTCCCTTCTACGAGTATGATCTAATCAATCCAATTATTTTTAATTAATAGATTTTCAAACAGTTAATCACTTCCATCTTATAATAACTCACATTTTTAAGTTAACGAAGCTTAAATAGCTATATAAAACGCCATATAGCGGTGTAGGTATGACATCTATAAGGTCTTTTCACGTGTTTACTTAACAGTAAGTCGGTCTGTGTCACTTTCGATGCATGACTCAGTTTTACAATATGAGGAATGTGAAATTCCGAAATAACCGAATTTCTTTGTTCTCAATAACTAAAGCTATATCTTTTATAATTTAGATCTTAAATGACATTCGTTTCTAGATCGAGATCGAGAGGTCTCGGTTTTGTCAAATTTAACATTTACGTTTTAATGTTTCTTTTGAGTACTCTTTTAAATATCCATACTAATATTATAAATGTGAAAGTGTGTTTGTTTATTTGTTTGTTTGTCCTTCTTTCACGTTGTAACGGAGTGACGGGTTGGCGTGATTTTTTGTGTGGAAATAGTTGAAGGACTGGAGAGTGACATAGGCTATTTTTTACCGCGGGAGTTTACCTAATTCCCACGCTAAAACACTTTTTAATACAATCCAAAAAAATATTTTTGGGCAGAATTACTTGAAACTTAGTATTAATACTCTTCAAGAAAATTTAATAAATACATATTTTAGCATTTTTTTTGAAATTCATCCTATAAGAGGGCAAAATAGATGATAAAAGTTTATATGAAACTATCTTTTTAGAGATTTTTTTGTAGTTTTAGCGCGAGCGAAGCATGGAATAAAAATAAAACTAATATATATTTATTTATTCCTGACTCTA